CCCTCTTTGTGAAATGTTCCTTCATTAAATATGACTAAAATAACAACTAAATATGGAAGCAATCAATTACAATATTAATTAATGGTACAAACAATCTATCTATATCTAATACAATTATAATATTATAATCGCAATCTTCAACCATCTTCGGAATATTATTCAATTTTCGACGATTTTCGGAATCTTATTCAAGCTCCTTGGCATCATCCACCTCAATCTCAAAATAAGCAACTTTTTCTACTTATAAATAAATAAGAAAAAGTAACATATTCACATAGGTTAGTGGGGGGAAAATAAAGTTAATCCAAAGCCAGTAACTCTGCTTAGCTGAACGTGTTGATAATTCATAAGGCTTGGAAAGGAGGATTCTTGGCATAAAGTTTAGCATTCTGTTCAAAAGTAAATGTTTTAAAAATTTCTGCAGCTCTCCAGAACTTGTAGTCACAAGTAATAGAGAATACAGGAAGATAAACACAAACAAGGAAGACAGTTATGACCTCATAAGGAAAACCTAAAATTGCTTGAAATTCATAAAGTGAGGATATTGAGGATTTGAGCTCCAGTGGTTCGTAATCCGTCCAACTAAAGGGATGACTTAAGGCCTGTGTGTATCGAACGAGACCCCTTTGCATTATACCTTCACACTTTTTCTAGATTATGGTAAGGTTATTTAAGTTGATGGATTTCAACCAAGTGGATCTCAAGTACAAAACTTGGATCCTCTACAATTGATTAGATGAGTGAACCCCCATGAGGATTCAAAACTGCCCCCAGAATCAACGGATTGAGGCAACATTTTGATCGATTTCAGAATTCACTCCATCCCAGACATTAAATAGCATCCTCAATGGTGTAATCTCTGGCCACCCTTCTCAAGATAAATATGCTCTACGACTCTCTGCTCCACATCAGCTATTAAGCATTACTTCGAGGAACACAACCAAATCACCAAAATCAATTTTATTTATGAACAGTGGCAGAAGATCATCAGTAATAGAACAGGGAAAAGGGGACAACTAAAATTCAAAAAATTACTATTTTGGATCACAAAGCCTCATCATTTTTAACATTATTTCTCCAATGAATCAAATAACACAAAATAGGCAGCATTTCCACAATTTTTATTTCATGCACCAACACAGTAATGCAAATAGTCCAACAATTAAATCCCGCAAGAATGTTAAGTGTGCATCTTTGCTACATTTAACATAGTAAGCACAATAGTGTACAATAATAACCTATTAAACAAAAATCCCTTTCCCATCAAAGAAATAAAAAACTGCCAACTTGGCGGAATAGTATTCATAAAATATTCAGCAAGATGTGATAGATTAACTTACTGAGTATTTTATTCATAAAATATTCAGCAAGTTGTGATAGATTAACTTACTGAGTATTTTCTTTGGATGACAAGCACAGATCTCTATAGTTCTTAGTCGGAAAGTTGGCTACCACGAGAGGCTCAATACAATGAAGACCCCGCTCCAACTGTAGAAAAAGTGACACACCTTTTCAATCCAAAAATAACAAAATGATTCATAACTATTCTAGAAATGATAAACCAGTATTCTTAAGATACTCTAATTATAAAATGACAACAGCACGAGAACAACAACCCATTTCCAGGAAGGATTTTAACAACAAAAAGAACTGAAGTACAATTTTTGGTGCAGCTTCTATATGTAGCAAAAGTTTTTACTTGGTTGTCATTATGTGATGCATTAAGACCGACAAGTGCATTTCACACAATAGCAAATAAGATAATATTTAACATACACGAAAATGAAAATCGGGCAAATATAATCGATCAAATAAACAGGGGGGAGAGACCAGATGATGCAATATAACTGAGCATTTGTCATGCTGCATGTCTAAAACTGTCGAATAGTAATTTGCACTAAACACATAATTCAATTCAATTCAAATTGGGCAAATGCAACCTGAACATAAAGCAACACATTAATCAACTCACCCAAATGATGAATATATGTCATAAATATTTGGTCAGATACTAAGATCTTACCTTTTCATCGTTTATCTCAATGTTCATATAAGAAATTGGGACCCGCATACAGTACCCCATTAGAGACTAAGACAACACTGGAATTTGAGATATAATTTTTTCCCTTTTTGGCAAGGCGATATGGTACAGTAATTAGACCCATCTAAACAAAAAAATATATGAAGATTGAATAGTGAAATTAAGTGCTTACAATGCTAAGATTAGATCTAGAAGCCATGGCAGAAGACCGCCTGGAGGAATTCAAATGAATTCGAGCACAAATAAGTCTCGTACATACAAACACTATGAACATAGTACTGACTGCGAATCCAATCACTGTCATCACCAAATTTATCCCCGAAGTTATCATCTTTCCTTAACTTATTTTCCCCACTTTATCAAATTCCCAAATCGGGTTTTTTCTGTGTTCTCCCTCCTTCCTAAACTTTTCAGTCTCCTACAAGTAACTGAAATTCTCAGGAATTTTGAAATCTTGCACCAGTCATAAAGCTAAAAAGAAATAAAGATTCCAAGCTTAACCCTCTCATACAAGCAGTTGATCGACACGTAAAAAGTCTAAAGGGCGCAACTAATCATTATTGCGGAAATTCTCACTCTTTCTTGCTTGAAAATCCCTTGATTTTTTGTTTTGTTCCTCAATTGTTTACTGCAGAGCTCTCTCTTATCTGTAGATGTGATGGTAGTGAAAGTGGATCCATTGTGGAATTGGAATTCGATTTGGAGGAGCCCATTTCAATGAAAAGAAGCGAAGATAGAGGGGTGTGTGTGAGAGAGAGAGTTAAAGGTTAGACTTTTAGAGTGTCGTTAAGAAGATTCGAGTGGGGAAGATCTCAAGATAGAAATATTAAAGTCTCATCAAGAAGGGATTAGTGTAATTAAGAAGATTCTAGCAGAGAAGTGATAAGAGAGATCTGAGAAAAATAAAAATTTAATGGTAATATCAATCAGTCCAAAAAAGAATATAGCAAAGGGTTTTCGACCACTCTTTTTAACGTACCTCTTAATACGATACCGGAGATCATCAAATTATATTCTCACACGAGTCGTCGTGTGTACGGTGATCATTAAGCGCTAATGTACCATTCGATGTGATTAAAGCGCTAAAACAAGAGCGTACAAATTCTAATATGATAATAATATTAATAATATTTTTCATTCATGGCAAAAGATTCCACTTTTTCATATTATGGAGTCCAATCTTTTTAATATAGTATATCAAATGCATACTTAGATGATTCGGTAAAGGGTCGTGCTACATGTATCGAGAGGGATTAACGAATGATATCCCCCCTCTCACATTGAGGGGTGGGACCTCGGCTCGACATTTTTTAATGCGCACTGGGCCCGCAAATCATGTGAGAGAAGGGACACAATTCGGTAGTCCCCCGGTACAAATATCATTTCTCTTCGGTAAAATGCATTATCATCATTGGACCATCATTTTCCCCTCAAGTTAGAGAGAAATTTTGGTAAAATGCATTATCATATCTCATATTCTCGATGTTGATTTTGATTTTGATCTAAAAAAAGGAAAAGTTACTTTTTAATTTATTTTGATTTATTTATTTATTTATCTTGTCATATGTTGGTTGTCGAAAATCCTGGCTTATTTCGGATGAAAAAAATAAAATCTTATTTTAATATTGTTTTATTCATCTTTCGCATATAAAGGATAAAACCTCTAAAATATACATTGAACTCATAACCGCTAAACAAACTAGATCCACGTGGAAATATATTATTTCAAGTCCAATGGAATTTAAAGTTTACTATTGTTAATAGGGCCGTGCTAGTGTCCCCCCTCTCACATCGGGGGGTGGGGCCTTAGCTCGACATTTTTTAATACGCACGGGACCCGCAAATCATGTGAGAGGGGGGACACAATTCGGTAGTCCCCCCTCAATACAAATATCATTTCCCTCGTTAATATTGCAGATTAAACTACTATATATCTACATTCGAGATGAATAATTACAAAGAATAATAATTCAAGCAAATAAACAGTACACGATTGACGATCTACAGCAGTTTGCAATTAGTAATAGGATTAAGTCTCTCATAAAATAGAGATTTTTGAGTTCGAATCCTTCGTGAGGATAAGGTGACAAAATTTTAAAGTGAACAATACTTATGATATAATAACTTTGGTGCAAGAAGCTCGAAGTGCCACGGTCGTCTTCATTTTACTCTCTCTCTCTCTATTATGAAACTCTGGCATCATAACTTTTATAAGAAAAGAAATATTTCATCGCGAAGACTTTTATCACCCAACCGCAAAAGTTGGTGGGGGAGCGGTCAACTACAACGGCCAATTTGCAATTAAGTAAAAAATATACTTAGTTTCTATTTGATTTAGTTAAAAAAAAAGTTGATACAAATTTAAGTCAAGGTTAACAATTAATTTTTTAACTATATTTCACATGGAATTTATAACTTTTATCAATTTTTCAACCATACAACTAAAAATTTGATTTTTAACAAAACCAAACATGGCTTATAGTCTCCACACACCTTTTATATATNAAATGATTTGGATGGGAAAATATGGCACATCAAACAAGTCAAAGTCAAGGAAAAAGAAATTGTTTTCCAAATTTCAAGGAAAAGATGGCCAATCAAACATGGCCTAATAGTAATATCAATCAGTCCAAAAAAGAATATAGCAAAGGGTTTTCGACCACTCTTTTTAACGTACCTTTTAATACGATACCAGAGATCATCAAATTATATTCTCACACGAGTCGTCGTGTGTACGGTGATCATTAAACTCTAATGAATCATTCGATGTGATTAAAGCGCTAATGTACCATTCGATGTGATTAAAGTGCTAAAACAAGAGCGTACAAATTCTAATATGATAATAATATTAATAATATTTTTCATTCATGGTAAAAGATTCCACTTTTTCATATTATGGAGTCCAATCTTCTTTAATATGGTATATCAAATGCATACTTAGATGATTCGGTAAAGGGTCGTGCTACATGTATCGAGGGGGATTACCGAATGATATCCCCCCTCTCACATCGAGGGGTGGGACCTCGGCTCGGCATTTTTTAATGCGCACAGGGCTCGCAAATCATGTGAGAGTAGGGACACAATTCGGTAGTCCCCCCCGATACAAATATCATTTCTCTTCGGTAAAATGCATTATCATCATTGGACCATCATTTTCCTCTCAAGTTAGAGAGAAATTTTGGTAAAATGCATTATCATATCTCAGATTCTCGATGTTGATTTTGATCTAAAAAAAGGAAAAGTCTTACTTTTTAATTTATTTTGATTTATTTATTTATTTATTTATTTTGTCATATGTTGGTTGTCGAAAATCCTGGCTTATTTCGGATGAAAAAAATAAAATCTTATTTTAATATTGTTTTATTCATCTTTCGCATATGAAGGATAAAACCTCTAAAATATACATTGAACTCATAACCGCTAAACAAACTAGATCCACGTGGAAATATATTATTCCAAGTCCAATGGAATTTAAAGTTTACTACTGTTAATAGAGCGTGCTAGTGTCCCCCCTCTCACATCGGGGGGTGGGGCCTCAGCTCGACATTTTTTAATACGCACGGGACCCGCAAATCATGTGAGAGGGGGACACAATTCGATAGTCCCCCCTCGATACAAATATCATTTCCCTCGTTAATATTGCAGATTAAACTACTATATATCTACATTCGAGATGAATAATTACAAAGAATAATAATTCACGCAAATAAACAGTACACGATTGACGATCTACAGCAGTTTGCAATTAGTAATAGGATTAAGTCTCTCATAAAATAGAGATTTTTGAGTTCGAATCCTTTGTGAGGATAAGGTGGACAAAATTTTAAAGTGAACAATACTTATGATATAATAACTTTGGTGCAAGAAGCTCGAATTGCCACGGTCGTCTTCATTTTACTCTCTCTCTCTCTCTCTCTCTCTCTATTATGAAACTCTGGCATCATAACTTTTATAAGAAAAGAAATATTTCATCGCGAAGACTTTTATCACCCAACCGCAAAAGTTGGGCGGGGGAGCGGTCAACTACAACGGCCAATTTGCAATTAAGTAAAAAATATACTTAGTTTCTATTTGATTTAGTTAAAAAAAAGTTGATACAAATTTAAGTCAAGGTTAACAATTAATTTTTTAACTATATTTCACATGGAATTTATAACCTTTATCAACTTTTCAATCATACAACTAGAAATTTGATTTTTAACAAAACCAAACATGGCTTAGTCTCCACACACCTTTTATATATTAATTTTCTCCTCTTATGTGATTGAAAATGGGTCGAAGAAGTTCGATTGTTTGACCAAAATCCAAAATCAATGGCTTAAATGCCAGGGCTCGAGCCCAATGGTATATCTATAATATATTTAAATATCACCGCCAAGTGAAAACCATTTTTTTGAAAAATTCTATCCTTACTATAATTTAATTATTTCAATAATACCTTATTTTTCTTTTTTCAATATATATTTAATTATTTCAATAATACCATACTTTTCTTAATAAATCCGTGTTTAATTTATTAATCATTTGAACAATATTATCATTAATTAACTTGTCAACTATTTAGTTATGATGAATGCACATTTGACACATTCATTATCTTATCTTTCATTTTTCAATATATATTTAATTTATTTAACCATATTTGATATATTAATTACATCTTCATTTTTCAAGTATGTATTTGATTTATTTAATTATTTGAACAATGTTATCATGAATTATGTTGTCAATTATTTAGTTATGATAAATGTACATTTGACAAATTTATTCTACTGGATTACATAGTATANAATTATTTATTTATGATTAATGTACATTTGATGGATTCATTGAAGTTGGATAGTAAATTAAATTTATTAAAAAAAATTGGAACAAAAGATGAAGTTTTCTTTCAATTGATTTATTCAATAAATGTTAAAATACTGATAAGGTAAATGAGGGAACATAATGCGTATCTATAATAAATAATTTCAATTGATATATTAAATGCACATATGGATAAACAAAGGGATTGTTGTAATTGACTTCCTCAACTATTTAAATTGTTTTCACAAATTGATTTATTTAATTTTACTATTCATTTAACA